TTCCGTTGAAATATATATTTTCACTCCCGTTGGTATACTGTTGGAATCGACAAAATTAAAAGGAAATGCCAATGGAATACTCATTGGAACATAATATTTTTGTTGGAGTTTCCGTTGGAATCTATTGAAAAATTCAAACGGAAACAATAGCATTGGAATTCCATTGGAATATATTTTTGTTCGAATTTTTCAATAGAATTTCTTCATTTTCTTGTAGTGACAATTAAATATTTAATAACACTTGGATTTAAAACCAAAGGAATGAACGAATAACATAAAAAAAAAAATTATTAACATTATTTTCGTCAACTTAACAATATAGGATTGAAAACAAGAGAATAATACAGTCGAAGCTTGGTAGAATAATGTGACACAAGCAGTAAAGAGAAATGTAAATGCACAAAATATATGGATATTCACCTAATCTAAAAGCTTAATAAAAAATACTTAGAAGGTAGAGTAAGCGAACAAAATATGACAATATGGATACCGCTAAATAATTCATCTAATCTAATAGCCTAATAAAGATGCTTAAATGCCACTTTGGTGAAGGCAGTTCAAAGTTTGATCGAGCGTGAGTGGGACATTAAGGTAGTGTATGTTCACAGGGAAACCAATTTTGCAGCGAATTATTTAGTGAGTTTGGCGGCTTCTTGCCTGATTGGACTGCAGATGTTGTCTTCACCTCCTTTCGGTCTCAACACATGACTTGACCATGACATTATTGGGGTCTCATATCCACGTAGAATTTTGGCCTAATTCAGGCATTTGGCCTCCTTCTTTGTACCAAAAAAAAAAGGTAGATTACGTGACTCTTAAGTCTTATAAGAATGGTTGATTAAGATTATACAATTAATTAATAAAAGTAAAAATAATAAATACAAAAATCTGTAATCCTTTCCAATGCAAAATTTATTAAAAATCCGAATGCCTAAAGATACTTATAGAAAATTTTATTGATGTAATCACCCAAATGTACCTAACAAAATGAAAAGAAATTTCATTTGGGTTTTGTTTATGAACACACTCATTCCTATAATCTTTAACTTGTTTAATGATTAAAATTTAATTAATTATATTTACAAAAAATAAATTTCATTATATTTTCAGAGATGTGCAAAATACGCGGAACACCTAGCTATGAGTTCTTTACAAAAGTAAATAGATAATTATAGTATTTGTTCGATCAATCATGCTTGCAATGTTATGTAAACTTGCAAGATTTATTTTCCTAAGATAGAAAAATAGAGTATAGACTAGTTTAAGTGACAAGACATTCCTTTATTAATCCTTCCCAATATATTAATTCAAAACGAGTTAAACTTAAGTGACAGACTTACACACTCTGGATGCTGACATGACAACAATCTATACTTCACAATGTTGTTTGTATATTAATTTTTTGCTTTTGAATCAGGCTTATAAATAATTTTTTTTCAAACTTGGTAAGTGTATATTTAATTTTGTTATTTATTTTTTTCTCTTAGTACAAATTTCCTTCTTATTTGGGCAAGTAGCAATGTTATCATCTTATATTTTTCTCTCATATTTCTTTTCTAATTACGATTCACAAATCACTTTCTGCACTGTCTATTTCTTTTTTTTAATTAATTAATCCATCAAGATTTTTAAATAAAATTTTATTTAACAACAACTTTTATAATATATTTTTTTAACTCAAACACCCCTGTAGTACACGGATATTATAATAGTTAGATGTAATTAGGAAGTGAAAGCAGTCTATGGAGATAATGGGGACTAAGGGTGTAATTGGATATCAACCTAATCTCAAAAAACCAATCAAAATTCAAATGTAACTCAACTATAACTCAACCCTACTATCCTCAATATTATCAACTAGTACAATACTAATGTATTACACGGGTGGTTCATATAATAATTAAATATACAAAAAAATGAAAACAATTATGCATTTGGTTGAAGTTGGAAAAAATAAATAAAGAACAACATGTAACAATTTATAATCAATAACTAAGTGAATTAACAATATTATTTTAAATTCTGGAAACTAATTTATATACATCATTAATTTTATTTGTAATATTTTATTTAAAACATATAAGGGAATAATATGATGAAAGCAAAAAATTAGAAAGCAAGATTATATGTACATTATAGAAGGAAATAACTTAAATATATTAAATATGTGTATATATATAGTAATCCGAACCTAAGTTATTTGGTATAAAAATTAATAATTTTTATCCAAGCCATATTACAAAGCATCAGATTTTGCTATGTAAGATTACAGAACGTGCGAAGCTGCCATTTAAACTCAGCGCGTTCTGAAATTATATATAAAGTGAGATATAATAAAATAATATCAGTCAATCATCTTTACACATCGCATTAACTTTAATTAATTTTTCATCCACTCACAATTTTAATTATGTATAACTTCAATCACTTTTCTCATATTTTACATCAAATCAATTATAATTATTTTATTTTAAATACTATTTTAATAAAAACATAAAATCCCACTCAAGCATAACCCAACTACTTTTGTAAGATTAACTATAACTAGTATAATATATGTGCACTACACGGGTGGTTGATAAAATAATTATATGTACAATTAAAGATGAAAAAACAAAATTTATATGTTGCTGAAGTTGAAAAAGATACATAAAGAACAACATATAACAATCTATAGTAATATAAAGAGGTTGTTGGAAATCACGACTAGCTGGAATCACACCAGACGACAAAAATCTTCACTTCGACGGACCGCCCCTAGAGCTGAGACCAGAGGCCGACAGACGACCCCACAACCCCTCCCAAGTCCCACCGACACTCTCACAGCCCTATGTAACAGAAGATCTGATAATTATGGACGATATTTTCTTATAGTTATTTTTGGTATCTACATATTTGATTTGATATGATTTTATCTCTTGTAATCTCTATATATTCTCTGTAAAAACTCTTCCAACGCAATACAAGAAATCATCTTCTTTCTATTGTCATGTTCTCTCTTATGAATTTAGCATGGTATCAGAGAGGTGAATTTCGCCGCAGACCTTATACCTAAGAATTTTTCACCATCGTCATATTTTTTTCTTCTATCATGTCAACCAACACTGAATCTCAATCAAAATATAAAACAATCTCACCATATGATATCACGTCGAGTGACAATCCCAGATGTTTGATTTCTACGGTTCTCCTCACAGGCCAAAATTATATCGAATGGTCCTCCTCGCTCCGGACAGCTCTCCGGGCACGCAAAAAGTTCGGCTTTCTTGATGGCTCTATTTACAAACCGGCCGACAACTCACCGGTCCTTGAAGATTGGTTCGTCAATAACTCAATGTTGGTCTCATGGATCAAGAATACGATCGATCCGACACTCCGACCCTCTATCCCTCAAATTGAACTCGCCAAAGAATTATGGGATCATCTTCGTCGTCGCTTCTCCGTCGTCAATGGCACTCGAATTCAACAATTGAAAGGTGAATTGGCTTCTACAATACAGAAAGGTATGACTATTAGTGCATATTATGGCAAGCTGCGAATGCTGTTTGATGAACTAAGTTCGTATCAACCGCCGATTGCGTGTACCTGTGGACATGCCCGTGAATTCGAGGCTCGTCGAGACGCAGAAGAAACTCATCAATTCTTGTTGGGCCTAGACAAAGAGCTGTATGGGTCGGCCCGTTCCGGTCTTTTGGCCCAAGATCCATTACCTTCTCTGGAACGGGTATATTCCGTCATTTCACAGGAGGAGCGATTCTCACCTTCATCGGCTCCGACAACCTCCGCTCCAACAACCGACATATTGAGCTTCGCCACAACAGCACCACGCCAATCGTCCTCCCGCTCTTCTCGGTCTTCTCGCCAGTGCACCGTTTGCGGTCGATCTGGACACGACGCCACGATTTGTTTTCGCGTGAAGACCTGCCCCCAT